TGGCAAGCCCTTAAGAATGGTGATACACTTCATGTGTAGATCACAAACACAACGCAACAGGACTTCAGAATACGGCTTGTCGTCCGTGTTTCAGCCGGCTTGGTCGCCCGCGAGAAATCCCGAAAACTGGAAATTTTGCTCGGTATCCTTGGCGCCTTGCCTCAAATTACCCAAAATCGCCTAGCAGGGGTTTCTCGTCGAGCGGTCCAGGTGCTGCACCTATCTCCGCGCTACACCAAAACTGTCCAGGGTTAACAAGAGTGATGCTAATGAACCAACTGATAGGCGAACCCGCTAAACACTTACATATCCGCCAAACCCAGCTTCACGTCACCAGAACCCCTGACGGCATCATCATCGCTTACAATACCGCTTCAGATCACCCTGTCCGAAATCAAGCTGTCGGCCTTCATCATCCTTGTCTTCTCCAAGCAAAAGGGTCTCACAATAGTCTTCCGAAATGACCCTCTTGAATCCCTCAAGGTTTCTTCGACCTTTGATTCGATTCAGTTCGTCAGGGACTATCTACAAAAAACCATTGAGGCGAAGCTGCGAGACCTGATCATGGACGAACTTCCAGCAATCATTCATCGCCTCTCGCTTCAACTTTGGTGCCCGGATCAGGTGCAAAAGGAGGATGAGGAAGCCAAGGAGGAGAGTGATGCGGCGGTAAACCCATTGGCAACACCACCACTTGACGCTGTGGATGCCCATGGCCATCGTCTTGATCCTGTCGAGATTTCGTCACTGTCTCTTGACGGCGGTCCCGAGACGCAATCGTTGTTCTCACAAAAGAACCTCGAAAAGATGGATGCCCTTGCCAATGCTCACCGTACCTCATCTCTAATAACACCGAACATTCTTGAGGTAGTGTTCAGAGCTTGGGCTGGGCAGTCTGACAAGGCTGATGCCACAGCTACTCCTTCGGCATCTACGCCTAACCTTCACCGGACGTCTTCGTACCTGGGAAGTCCTCATACTTACACTTTCTCAGACAACAGCAGCCAGGCTAGTGGTCACGCTCCTTCCAGGCCGACCCTGGTGAGTATGGGTTCCGCCACTACGGGCTTGTCTCTCGGCTCTGGCAGGCATTCCAAGGCGGGCCGCAAGAAGAAGATGCGGGTCGTCAATCTTCGTAGCAAGACGCCGGCTAGCGAGCCTGTCAGCGAAGTTGGTAGCACCAGCAGTCAAGCTGGCGATAGCAGCTCTGAGGCAGCTTCGACCCGTACACCCATGTCTGAACCTGTCATCCCCACAACAATACGGGAGGCACCAGAAGATGATTTGGTTGCTTCGCAGAGCAAGGTGAGGTTCAGACCTGCGGCAGACGCCACCACATCTCCTAAGGCTTCCGACTCGTCTGGTTCTCGTGCTGCTGTCCCAAGTGTGCCCGTGACTGCCCAGCCCTCGCGGGTTGCCTCTCCCCAGGAACATGTGTATACTCGCCAGCCCTCCATGTTTCCTAGCAACCCCGCTCCGCAAACGCCGGCGCAGGAGATGCCGCCGTCGTATTCCAGCAGAGTGTCCGAAAAGGCAGAAACCACTGCGCCGATCTACGCAGATGCCAAGGCCCAGCAGCAGCAGCAACAACAGTGGGGACGTGCTGGACCACAACCAGACATGTCCTCGGTGATTCTTGAGCAAGCTTGGATCACCAAGATTGCAGGTGAGATTGCTCGCCGTGTGTACGACGAGAAGAACCGCAATCCTGCTTTCTGGGAGGATAGCCACCAGCATGATATTCCCCCACCGGCTTATGAACCGAGATAGATGATGAGCCTGGGGGGACTTTCATGCTGCGAGCGTGCCACGCTCCTCTGTGTGTGTCGATCACATTTTGCTGTACAATTTTTTCCGCTCCTCCTTTCTTGTCTTTCATCAAGCAAGCGGGTTTTAGTCTTTCTTTTGTATGATTTTCCAAAAACGGCGTTTCGGGGAGGTGGGGTCACGCGAACTGGAACCCCATGATCGATTCCTCTTTGCTTCTCACCGCTTTTCTTGTCGGTGGCACATTTGGCTCTCTTTTTACACGGATTGATATCATTGGTTTGCGGGCTGGTGGTGGGCCTTACAAAAAGAACGAACACAACACACATAGAAAAAATGGGGTTGGTTAGGTTATTTCTCTTTGTTTTTTTGAGAGCAGCAGTACATAGTGTACTTCTAAAGATGACGGAGTGTACGAAGAGAAGGGAAAGGGGAAAGAAAAAGTTTTTGGTCTTTTTGAGATACACCACAAGGGAGAGGGACCGCCACAACCAGGCAAACGGACGGATGAACAGATGAAGAGAAAGGGCGGGGGGAAGATGGATGATAGTACGGGAAGGATAGGTTTACAATACCCCAGGGTTGTTAATGCGACTCCTCACTCCGTTTTACTACTATGGAACATCCATATCAATTTGTGCCGTGCCATTGTGATTCATGGTTTTAACTACATCATAGATGCTGCGGCGCTTATGCTGAGCTGGTTGACTCGTCGTCAGAATATTCATTTTCCTTGGTTCACCATGGTAGGATGAATCGACGCCAGTTGTATTACGTAGCGGGAAAATTACGGACATTCTATTTCAAGGTGTCGTTGGGTATAACTTCAAACAAAAGCCAACGAGCTCACCAGTCTGGGTGAGGCCTGATCTCTCTAACAAGATCTTCGCTAACACATCCAACACCAAAACGCCTCTAACCATCCCATATCGCATATGCACACATGCATGCAGTACATCCGCCCGCCCCATCCATATCCAAAATCTGGCTTTTCATAAATAAAATAAAAAGACAAGAAGATGAGCGAGACAATCAGATGCCAGCAACACTAAAACTAGCCAAACTCCCCACCGACAAACCACCCACAAGACACATACTCATAAACCCGCCTGCGGCCTCTCTCTCGCCCTCATCAACCCACTCGCCCGCAGCCATCATGCTGCTGGCGCCCAACCACCCGTTCGTCAATCCGAAAGGTAACTGCACCACCAGCAAGTAAAACAGATCACTGTCCACCACCGCTCCCAATCCCCTGATATTGCAAAGCAGGTACATGGGCAGGAACACCAGCCTGGCTACCGCCACGGCGAACAACGCCACGGGCCGATCGCGCAGAGAAAAGGGGAGGAACATGGGTGATACCCGCCCCAACAGGTCGCCGAGGTTCCAGAAGAAGAAACCCAAAGGAATAAACACCCCCGGGGCGAAGATTGACGAGGTGCTACTACCTCCCCTGGAAGGAGAGGTGTCGGAGGAGTCGGGGTCGTCGTGGACGGAAAGGATCTTGGCCGTGAAAACGGGAAAGAACATGGCTACCACGAAGCACAGGAACACCGAGGCGGCGATCCAGTTGAGCTTGCGGAAAAGCTGGACAGGGCCGACGTAGTGCCGGCGAGCCCGCTCGGCTTCTTCCAGGGAGGTGATGGATTGCGAGAGAAGCTGTTGTTGGGTGTCTTCGTCGGCCATGAGGCGGGATTCGATGAGCGTGTTGTGTCGTGTGACGAGGGGGTAGAAGGCGAGGAGGGTCAAGAGGGAGATGAGCACGGCGGTGAGGAAGTAGATGAATGCTGAGGTGCTGGGGGCTGCTTCTGGGGTGCTGTCGAGAGTGGTGGCGGTTGTAGTAGTAGTAGTTGTTGTTGTTGTTGTTGAGTTTTGGGAAGGGTTGGAGTTGTCGGACTGAGGCACCGCGAGGTAGGAGACCATTTGGGCCAAGGGGGGAAGGATCCCGGCCACGCCCTGACCGGCCATAATGGCTTGGGTGTACTCCGGTCGACCGAAGCTGGCGGCGAAAGCGAAGGCGCCGTTTTGCATCATGCCAGCAGCCCAGGCGGAGGCGCCGACCATGAGAAGCAGGAAGACGAGGTAGGTGGTCGCCGAGACATGGCGGAAGGCGACGGCCGAGATGGTTAAGAGACCGAAGACGGCGATGGTGACGATGAGGGAGGCCTTGATGCGCAACGGGTAGTTGGCTGAGGACTGAATGTTCATCAAGACGAGCAGAGCCAGCAGGTTGGCGGTTGTCGAGACAGAGAGGATGGCGGATTGGGAGTTGGCCAGGATCCATTCATTGGATTCGAAACGGGTTTGGAAGTAGGGAGCCGCGGCGAGGAACATGTTCCTGTGGTGATGATGAGTGGTTAGCAACATTGTCTGAATGCCCTGTTGAGAGTGAGGGCATCAACAACATACCATGCCCAGAGCATAGCGACGCCAATCAAGGCGAAGATGGAGTATTCTATCCATGAGAAGGGCGCCTGGTCTGGGTATGTCTCTCCTTCCTCCTCGCCGAGCGTCGAAGAGTCGTCCGTCAATGGCTCGTACTCTTCGTCTGTTGCCTTGACAGGCGTCAGGAAGTTCTTTATTCGGTCCATGATAGTTGGGGGTCTGTTATCACGGATAGCTGTTGTTGTCGACCCTTCGAGCTGCCTGGTATCGTCGTTTGAACTTGTCGGTATGGGACGAAGTCTGATGCTTGGTTGATCGGCCGACATCCAATTCCGACAAGGTGCTTATACTGTATTTGAAATGTTGAAAGGCCGCCTTTGAAGAGAGTGTACACTAGCTGTTGACCGTCCTCCTCGATCCAACCCACTTTCCGGTGTCGGCTGCCTTTTTCCGTTCGTCGTTGGGGATGTTTGATTCGACGATTTGAACGTGGAGAATCGCGGGGATATGGATCAGATCGTCATGCGTCGGCGACACGGGATGATAGCGCGTGCGCAACACGTCGGGATAGATGGTGATGGACGGGGTGATAGGCATTGAGTGTTGAAAGTGTCAGCTGCACCTTGATGGTTGCATGCCCGTTGTCGCAGGTCCGCAGCCCGCAGTGCCTATGGTAGCGTTTATCTCCTTGTAAGCCTTATCTGCTGCGATAGGGGCCGTAGGAGGTGCAGAGGAACCGGCCGCCAAGTCCAGCACACGTGGTCCCCGAAGCGGTGCTCCCCACGGCGTCTGTAGTGCCGGCGGCAGCAGCACTAACACGAGGCAATGTTCAGCTGCTCGACCTGATCAATACCAAACACGATATCGAGATTGACAAGGCGGGTATTACGAGAATGCAGTGATACACACATCTCGGCCTTTTTTCTCGCTTGTGAAACCAGCGATCTTCAGCTGACGCTATCCGCATACCTATTCCTGCTGGCCAACATCACCATGAGCCACGGGCAAGGTGAAAGTACACACAACACCATCACCACCACAACACCATAGCTCGATGAGGAAAGGTCGGCAAAACCCTTGGCAAGCCACCCACGTGACCCGGAGGTCCTGCGCCGCAGTGTTGTGTGTTGTTGCCATTGGGAAATCTTTCTACACTATCTTTCAACTAACGCCTTTTCTCAAAACCTCAGGTAAAAGAACAGCCAAAGTACTATGGCATCTGGTATTTCTTTTCAAATCAAGTACTAGTAGGTAAAGATATGTACAATAAGTTTAACCCCCTTTGATCCAAAGACCAACAACCTCCTTATGGATCCACTCGCTCGCTTCTGCTGAAGAATTAAACAAAGCGCAATCATCAAATCCTCATCTGCTCATTAAGCATTACCCTTTTCCTCCTCTCATTTTCTCTTTCCCTTGGTATCAAATCAAATCTACTCCTCTACTCTACTCCTCATCATCATCACCATCAACAGAGAAACGCTCAAGGAACTTGAACACCTTGAGGCCCTCCTCAACACCCTTGACAACCTCGTCCTGAGCACCGGAATAAACACCAGCCTCCTTCTCCTTAACACCGACGCTCTTGAGCGCCTTCTTCGCGCTGCCGATAGCGGCAACGGGCTTACCCCAGCGGTAACCATCGGTAAGAATCTGGCTAGGGCGACCAGCAGGGAAGAGCGGGCTCATGGCGCCCTTACCGCTGAAGACACGCTCCGCGCCCTCAGCAACAACGACGGCATCGAAGCCGGTGGCGTCAGCAGCGCTGTAGGTCTGGTCGACACCGCTGGCGAGGTACTCGGCGACGACGGTGACCTTGAGGCCGTCCATCTCGAGCTGCTCCTTGAGGGCCTTGGCCTTGTCGAGGGAGTCGCCCTTGGTGGTGGCGAGAACGCCGACGCGGAGGGTGGCGATGGTGGGGAGGGTCTCGTTGAAGATGGAGACACCGCGGGTGACGTTGTTGTGGTAGTAGGTCGGGTCGGGCTGGGGAGCCTCGAGGCCAAGGGCGACAGCGACTCGCTTGGCGACGTCGTTGGAGATCTTGTTGAGCTGCTCAAGAACGTTCTTCTTGACCTGCTCGTTGGTGACGTGGCTGGCCTCGAAGCGGATGGCGTTGATGACGAACTGCTGCTCGACGGGAGTGAGCGAGTTGAAGAAGAGACGGGGCTGGGTGTAGAAGTCGTCGAAGGTGGCGCTGAGCTCGCGGTTCAGGTAGCCGGAGGCGGTGCGGCCGGGGGTGGTGAAGAAGCCGCGGCCGACGGTCTGGTTGGCCTGGGCCGGGTAGCCCTTGTTGAGGTAAGAGGGAGTGTAGTGGTGGATGTTCTTGTGGATCCAGGCCTGGCCCTGACCGTCGCGGTGGTTGTTGTGAACGCCGGAGACGGGACGGTTGATGGGGAGCTGCTCAAAGTTGGGGCCCTTGTGGCGGTTGAGCTGGGTGTCGAGGTAGCTGTACAGACGACCCTGCAGCAGGGGGTCCTCGGTGAAGTCGACACCACGGACGATGTGGCCGGGCTGGAAGGAGATCTGCTCGGTCTCGGCGAAGTAGTTGGTAGGGTTGCGGTTGAGGGTCATCTCACCGAGAACCTGAAGGGGAGCGAACTCTTCGGGAAGGAACTTGGTAGGGTCAAGGAGGTCAAAGCCGTAAGCCTGGGCCTTCTCCTCATCGACGAGCTGAACGGCGAGCTCCCACGAGGGGGCGTTGCCGGACTCGATGGCGTCCCAGAGATCAGCACGGTGGAAATCAGCGTTCTTGCCGGCGAGGACCTGAGCCTCCTCCCAGACGAGAGCGGCCTTGCCCTGCTTGGTCTTCCAGTGCCACTTGACGAGCTTGGACTTGCCGTCCTCGGTCACCAGGCGGAAGGTGTGCACACCGAAACCATCCATGTGACGGTAGCTGCGGGGAATGCCGTTCCCAGACATGGCCCAGAAGAGGGTATGGAGAGCGGAGGGCTGGGAGCTGAAGAAGTCCCAAGCTGAATCGTGGGCGGTGGCGGCCTGGGGAACCTCGTTGTCGGGGCTAGGCTTGACGGAGTGGACAAGGTCGGGGAAGCGGATGGCATCCTGGATGAAGAAGACGGGGATGTTGTTACCGACGATATCGAAGTTGCCCTCATCGGTATAGCTGGATTCCAGTTAGCGACCTGTTCAAGAGGTGGAGGGAGGGTTAGATACGTGGTAAAACATACAATCTTGTGGCGAAGCCGTGAACATCACGGGCAGTGTCGGCGGAACCCTTAGAACCGGCAACGGTAGAGAAGCGGACAAAGACTGGTGTTTGCTTGCCCTCGGCGCTCAAGAAGGAGGCGGCGGTGATGTTGGACCAGTCGCCGTAGCTGGTGAAGATACCGTGGGCACCGGCACCACGGGCGTGGACGACTCTCTCGGGAATCTGGGATCGAAGTTCATGTTAGCTATGACTCTTCATGTTACTTGGCTGTGACAGGGAAAGACATACGCGCTCGTGATCGAAGTGCTGGAGCTTCTGGCGGAAGATGAAGTCCTCAAGCAATGTCGAGCCCCGGTTACCAGCCTTCAAGCTGAACTGTTCCCCAACATTGCCACCGAAATCTGTCGTCATGTACTGGCCGGCATCGTTGACCTCGACCTCCTTCAATCTTTCACGGGCGTCAATCTCGCCGCCCTCAGCACGGCGACCCAGAGCAGAAGGGTCAGCAAAGGGGCATGCCGCCAGAGCAGTGCCAATAAGGCCGCTCAACGGTAGAAGAGCGTTGACACGCATGGTGTTGTTCTGTGTAGTGTATAACTTCCAAGTGAAGGAGTACACACAATCTGCTGTGTTTTGGGGGTATCAAATAAAGACAGATGGGGAGAATATGTGATTGTATTCTATCCCGAAATATGGATATCTGGTGAAGGAAACAAAAAAAACACACAGAACAGGATCTCAAGTGTCAGTGGCGGGAGAGGGTATTACTTATATCAATCCCCCGCCATGTCATGGCCGGACAGACGTGACAAAGACCCATCCGGGAGGCGATCACATCTATCGGGCTTTGCCAGGATCAACACACCGAGCGTCCCCCGCATGGCCCATGGGAAATGAAGGATTGGAACTCTTCGTCCGAACCCATGGGAAAACAAAACATGTGTGCAGACAAGGAAGGGTAGGGGAGTGGTCAATCAATGGAGACGGGTTGTAGCATAGGTACATACCAGGCCGGAACAACAAAGCTGCCAACCCCACAAGCATTGTAAGTGGTGACTTTCAACTGGTGGGATGGGCACTGATGGACGTGTGGACCCTTGATGGAGTACAGTTGCACTGAATGGAGCATGGTAGCTTCGGTAGATGTGCACCACCACGACCACGTAGGGCGCAGAGGAACGGCCAAAAGGTACATAGTGTACACTTTGGACGTGTAAGTGGATCGGCGAAGTGGCCATGGTATAGGTATCCCAGGTGTAACACAGGCCACAGAGGTGCCGAACGTTCGTTCTGGAAGCTACCTTATGTGTGGTATACAAATGGTATATTTCAAAAGTGACGAAACGTATACGGAGTGTGCAAGTCCCCAATTCCCAAGCCTCGGGGTACCTACCCATCGCAGTCCCGGTCACTGGGTTAGCCCGTGAGCTCTTCCTCATGGTCCGATATATTGTCGAGGAGGACCCACATAAACCTGGAATGGTCCCCGGCCGGTGTGCTTGAAATCTATCGGTCCGCCTTCTCTGAGTGGTGCCTTGGTTCGGCTGCCAAGCCGAAGGAAGATGATGATGGACGGTGGAAGAACGGGCTGGGCCTTGATGAGACAGGATGGCGGTTCCTTGCTGCATTGTGCCTACCTTACACAGATATGTGAGTGAGGTGTTGGAGGAAGGAACCACACAGGAGGCAAGGTAGATGGTAAGCTGTCGAGCTGTACACTAAGTATGTATGCAGCTTGTACATGAACGAGATGAGGCTCGGAATCTTTTGGAGAACCCGGGAAACAAAGCTTTGACTACTAACTGCTGAAAGCTCCTAGGAGAACGCTGGCTGGCACGGCTCACAGACTGTTAATGGGTAGGTGCAATATCCAACCGTTCCCGTACCGCATGGTGGTACCTCCTGCTACGGTGATGCTTCTACCACCTGTAGGGAAGGGGTAGCTTTGATAGCCCGGATCCAAAAGATTTCTGGTACGCGCCACTCTTGTGGACTTTCACTCTTGTGGTCCCCAATTCTGAGCATGGCGAACATACAGTG